TTAACAATAAAATGTAGGCATGTTAAGAAGTTCAACTGCCAACTTGACAAAACAAACATTTCAGTGTTGAATTAGTTCACACAGCCTCTTTATGGAAATGTTTTATAGACCTAGAGAGTACAAGGAACCGAGACAGCTGCTTCTGCAGAAGATAATAGGACTATCTGAGCAAAACTGTTTGAGTTTTCTCATTCAAAGAAAAGTTAAAGGCCAAGTTTTTGGAAATAATGAAGCCTTGATCAGCACACACTACTTGGTTGTAATTGAAGAAAATCAACAAATAACTTTATAATGTAATTGTTAATGAACACGTTCGCACTTAAAGGCAGGGTTAGTTATGAATATGTAACTGTTGCTATCTGTCTTTGAACCTTAGCTTTAATTTAATTTTTCAGATAGTTGTCTCAATTCTTTACTTAAATTCAGAATCAGTTTTAGTAACATCTGACATCTGTATGTCAAACAAACATTTGTAATAACAGACACCAAACCCCTTACCTAACTGTGGGCTCAAGTCGCATGATTGTCGATGGATTTTTCTGTCCTGGCACGTCATACTGTGCGTATTTTCTGGCTTACTAGAAATTGTGTTGTGAAGAAACCTTTCAACCCTCAAAGCTTCTGTTGGAAATCCCTGGAGGACACATGACTGTGACACAGTGTAACTAACAAAATGAATCAAAGGTCAAAACTGTAGTGTCAGGAAGCTTCCAGTTAAATCTCTGTCAAACCGTTTCATCTCTGCAGCTCCAAACTAAATAAACAGTTCAGGTTTGAAGTTCAGAAGTTATGTAAGGTGATGCTACTGACATCACCTTACATGTGTCACATTTCTAGGATACCAAAGGATAATTGGAGACAGGAGAGGCACACATATTCTTGCAGTGAAGGGTTTGGTATCAAGAACTGGCTCTGAATTTGAAACTATTCTAAATTTAAAGGAGAGTACGACTGCATATGTGCAGACTGTTGTATCAAGCCTTTTGTGGCTCCAGAGGAAGCTGTGTGTGAAATCTCATAAATAACCTTGTGATGTCACTTGAGTCAGTGTTGGCTGGGGTTAAAGAGTGCATGCAATAAGCATCTTCTTTTTATTTTTATTTTTATTTGTTATGTAAAATTAATAAATAATAAATTTGAATATTATTCGAACTCTACTAAATTAATTCAAAAATATTCGAACTCAATTTCATGGTGCTTTTGACAGCCCTACTGGGAGGTGATATTTTGTAAGAATTCAGTATTCTTGTACTCAGAATGCATCAGAATCAGCTTATGTCAATGTGTCCAACATGAGTGCCAACTAATAACAACAGTCAACATTCAGATGAGAGAATGTAATGTTCATAACATGTCACTTTTGTTACTTTACATACTTAAATAATAGGAAAACCACCCAAACTGACATTTAAGAGGAATTGGGATTGATTGGTAGATCCAGTACAATCTAAGGGGCCGTACACATGCCGCATCTTGAAGCGCCTGAAAAACGCATCTGAAGTTGCTAAACAACCTGAACAAGCTCCGTATCATAGCCTATTCACCTGAAATCTTTTCCAGGCGTTGTTAAGTGTGTGGGCATATCATCTGTCAGCAGCCCTGCACCAAAATGATCAACTTCTCCATATTTACCACAGACTGATATTTATGGAAGAAGGGAAAGATGTTGGCTGTGATTGGTTGTTCCTCGTCACATGACATGCGGTGTGTGCTGCTGAGTTCCAAAAGTTGAACTGTGTTTGTCTCGGGGCGCAGCAGTCATGCCGTGAAAAATAGGCATCGCTGTGGCGTTTGAGGGCGCCTGCCACGCATCTACATTGAAAACAATGAATATGAGGGTGCTAAAAACGTAGCATGCGCACGGCCCCTAAACCCTGCTGTTGAGTGCAGCTCTCTGTGGATGGAGATCTCTTTTGTTGCAGTTCAGGAGACAGTTTTGTGTGTTGCTAAGTTAGGATTAAATACTCTGTGTGCATGGAGAACATTTCCCCATAGTGAGTACAGTCACTACGGGGAAATGTTTTAGTGCTTTATTTTCCATGATCCTGTACTGCGTTTCTTTGGGCCTGACAGACCTGTCGGTGTGGTTGTACAGTCATGCACCATGCAAACGTGACCTCCAGCTGTTCACAGTATTTATTGGAAAGATTGTAAGATCAACATACAGCATAGGTGCTGTGCTTGCGCTAATCTCCCCACTGGCCCCTGTGCTCTTTCACTGGACTTCTAGACTATTTAACCCCAGAACATTTCTTACTGGCTTACTGGTTTGGCTTCCGTCAGAGTTTCAAGGTATTTGTCAAATCCAGTTAACAAATACAGGTTCGCCGTCACTTTCCTCTGTCAGGTAGTTAAAGCGCATTTGAGCTTTTGCTATTTATGATCTTCTTCTCTCTGGTGTCTGGTCTCAGGTATGTGAAAAATGTGTTGTACCCCAGCATAAGCTGATGAAGAAACTCATGAACACAGTGCAGCAGAGGAAAGAGCAAAGTTGTGTGTGTATTGTGCAAACACAGAAACACACAATAGAGACATGGGCATAATGTGGAATCTGCCTTTCATAACATGGTACATTAAGTAGATGTGTGTAGTGAGGGTATGACATCAGGGTTATATTATGAAAAATTGCCTCAGTCATTTTCTTACAAAGAATGTATTGTAACTGTTCAGTTACGTCAGTGCAGGATATTTCCTGTCTTGGTTTGGGTCACTTCTGATGTTTTTGTTGACTTTGACTTTGGAACTGGACTTTTGTTTGATTGGTTGTGCAGCTGCAACAAAAAATGTTTTCATTATTGATGTATTTGTTGTGTTTTGTGATCAATTGCGTAGTCAGACCAAAAGCCAAAGATTTAAATGTGAACAGCAAGTTTTTGCTTCATTTATAAAATACATCGATTATCAAAACTTGCAGATTAATTTTCAGTCTGTAGCTTCAGTGATAAAGTGAGTAATCTCTTCTCTAATTTCGCTCTCATGAATGCGTACACACACATGAAATCCTGGTACACTGCTGCCCTTGGTGTTGTTGGTGATAGTTAGCAGTCTGCCAAAGGCTCTTATTCCCCCCCTCTCTCTCTCTCTCTCTCTCTCTCTCTCTCTCTCTCTTTCTCTCTTTCTCTCTCTCTCTCTCTTTCTGGCCTTGTCCCTGGACATGATCGTCGTTAAGGAGCTTACTGAGATTTTCTTTTTGGTGTAAACTGCCACGGCGAAGTCCCTGTGAGCCGCTTTCACTCCCTTGTAGTCAGAGTGTTGTGACACTGCAGCCAAAAACAGCAAGAGGCAAGATCTCTGACTTGAGGACATGAGACAGATCAGCATGGTGAAGTGAGCTGGTCTGTTGGAAGGTTTTTATGGAGATTCATGACCAGGCATGGCCAGGGATGGTCAGTTATTGCTTGTTTTCATGAGGAAATCAACATTTTTGAAGGAATCTAGCTGCTGACTTTATGTTTTTTTTTTGTTTTTTGTTTTCTTAATCTTGCCTTTGTGTCCTTGTTCATCAGTCTGTGTACCCTCTCTAGATTCGGGGTTCTAAGTTTTTGCAGTCCGGGAACAGAGCGCAGTTGCAACTCTTCATGAGTTATTTTTGTGAAATTTTGAGCGGCAGGGTTGGTCATTGATCAGTCGAGCCAATTGGAGCTGATCAAACTAGATCGATGGATGAGAGGAGCAGCTGCTGCAAGAGTTGAGTGAAAGCAAACTTTTAGACCCAATGCAATGAACGGTTAAGTTTCACTTTCACTGAACCTGATGCTCTACTGCTTCATCTGTGCCTAGAGTTGTCAGTTGTCTGTGCTTGTTGGAAGTGCTCTGCCATGTTTAGTAAATTCTACATTTGTTCACATTGATTGATATTATTGATGGTTGTGTGTAATGATTGATTTTGATGTGTCAGGCTCGGCGGCTTTTGTCTTATCAATTTTTCCGTTTCATGTTTGATTTGGCCCCAGAATATTAGCAAATGCTATGTTAAAAGCTAACGGTGATCATACTTGAACATAGAAATGCAAACAGGAAAAATAATTTGGATCATTTTAGTGCTGAAATGCTCAGTCAGTTAAATAACAAATTGTCTAATCATTTGTCATATTTAAAGGATAGCATTTGCTGTTTCTAGTTTGTGAAATGATTTTATCTTTTATATCATTGTGAATGGAATCATTAATTTTCCACAATTTTGTGGCAAAAGAGACAAATTAATTAATCATTAAATCACTTTAAGTCATTCTTTAATGAAATTAGTAAAGCAGAAAGTACTTCCATAAATGGATTTTTCTTTTCATCAAGCAGATTCATTACTTCCTCTTGATGACTGTCAGTTTCTGCTGTTACAGAAAGAGATGTGTTTCTGTGACCCCTGCACACTTCTTCCCAGTTTCCCAGTTTTACCAGTGTCTTGATGCTGCTGATTGACCTGCTTTAAGTATCAGTCACTTCCTGTTTCCTGATGATGAATCGCTGTGCTCCAGTTGTGATTCCATATCCTGATGGTTTTGCATTTTCTGTGTTTTTGTTGCAGTGAGTTTCTGTTGTTGATCTGCCTGGTAACAGTAATGACAGGGCAGAAAAATTATGGTACTGGTGTGGTTGCTGCTGCTGTAGTTCAGTTTATCTGAAAGTGATGCAGCATAAGAGGCAAATGAAAGCTGGGGAAACAGCCAAAGAAAGGCAGATGATTTATTGAGAGCTTACCTGCGTCAGATAAGACGAGTAGTGGAAAAGTTAAAAAACTAATTTAACTGAGACAAGCAAGCCAGTACAGATAGGCAACACTGAGGCAAGAAAACAAACTATTATGTGTTTGGTCTCACGCTCTGTCTTTTCAGCAAATATTTTAACACAAACTTAATTTTGTAGACAAATTTCCAGTTTATATCAAATACAAATCTGTTGTTCCCCTGCTTTCCTTTTTATTTGTTGCTGCTGGTTTTTAGACGATCTGTGTTCATGAATGCAGAGCCCATTGTAACGTCGGTCATCTTGATTTGTTTCCACAGAGTCTACCGGCCCCGCCAAGGTTGTGAGAGCAGGGAACCCACCCAAAGCCAGACGTGGAGGAAAGGTAATGTTCTGGTTCTGTGTGTGTCTGTCTGTACGCCTGTGTGATAAAATATTGGTGGATATCAGTAATAGTGAAACTGTACTGTATATATGAAGGTTAAAAAAGAATTCATAAAAACTAACAGTACCAACGTGGCTCCTTTTTGGTCGTTAACAAAAACAAACATACAGCAAATTAAAGCAAAGAAAGTAACTTGTCTTCCCTAGCAACAGTAACTAAGGGCGGTTGGACTTAGGATTGATGAATTCAAAGAGAGCATCTTCCATTAGTTCAGACTCTCTACAGCTCAGTGAAGGTACGTGCAGTCAGAGTGCTGGTATTTATCCATCATGCCCTAAGCTGTGTATTAACCTCCCTTCACACTTCCTGGAATGCAAATGTGAGTTCCTGGTGAACCAATGGCCCGGCAGCAGATAAAGCAGACACACTCTGCTCGTAGCATTTCATTCACAACTTCCTACCTTTGATTGCACTCTACTGCTCTACTCCAGGGTTGTTAACCACACCTTGACCACAAGCTTTTACAACACCCGTGCGTTAAGTGCAGTGTTGCAGAAACAAAAGAGAGAAACTGTCAAATCACAGGAAACTTAATGATTAAAGATAAAAGGAGAGTAGGCTTCTGACAGCAGGTGAGTTAGAAAAACAGGGAAGATGGGAAAGAGTCTTGGGTAGATTTCTGCACAGGATACAGCTGGGCCATAAAAACAGGCTGGACATAGGTTTTAGTTTGCATTTAACTTGTAACAAGTGTTTTTCCCTTTCATACAGTAAGAAAACGTTTTCACTAAGCAAACATTTGGATTGGAACATTTGAATTTGCTGATCTAATATGGAGTTAGTTTTGTGGTGGCACACCAGGATAACCTGCTGCAACATCTCACTTTCACAGATACCTGTGACTCTCCTATTCAGCTAATTCAGCTTTGTGTGTTTGTTTATTTTGTTGCTCAGGTTGGAGACTTTGGCGACACCAACAGCTGGCCAACTCCCGGCGAGATTGCGACTAAAGACATGCAGGTGGGTGTTATTGTTTGTCTGAGAAGTGTTGAGTCACAGGTTGGTAGATGAACAGTATGGAGGACACACTGATGAGATGAGGGTGATGTCTGTTTGGGAATTGGACTACTGAACGATTTCATATTTGCTGAGTATTTGTAAGATGGTGCAGGAGACGGCTGCCATCTCATAATGTCAAAGTTGTAGTTAGCCTGACGAGAGCACAGGATTAGGAATGGGCCACTTTAGCAAAATGACACGAGGCCAGAGGCCAGTTAATAATATATATCAGGCTATATAATAAACAAATGACCTGTTTGCAACCTTTCCACATTCGGTGTCCTCGCCCATCTTTGCCCAGAAGTAAATCAGTCTGCAGCACTGTGACTGGATTTTGTTGGGGGTTCTGGGGTATCCTCCCCTGGAAGTTATTTTAATAAACAAGCTCTATTTTGGTGCTTTTTATGCACTCTGGGACTTAACTTACATTCAAAGTGCAAAAAAATCCCAGTTTGAATCAGTCAGCGGGCTACCCGGCACTTTATAGCAGGCCAGATTTGGCCCACGGGCTGGAAGTTGAGTTTCACTGGTGTACAGTATCACCTACAGTAGGCGGCAGTCGGCACGTCCCCAGTTCCAGGAGTATGGGCGTACAGAAGCTGAGCAATGTAGCGTACTCTTGTGCATGCCATGTTCATTTTGGGCCGAAAAATCAAACAAAACCCAAACTTACATACTGATCACTTTGAGTGTATGCTATATTTTGATTATTTTCACAGCTTTATTTTGCAGTAAGACCGCTCTTTCTGTGGGGGAACTGAAGCCCTCTTCAAAGCAACCAGACTCCATTGACAGAAACAGTAAATTTACCTTAAAGCGCATAGGAATTCTTGGTCCACTACAACTTGATGGTTTAGTTTTTATCATTGTGTGACTTTCTGAACCTAACTAAGCGACATCCACGGCAGTACATTGGTTTATATGTAGCAATTACATCATGCAGAAACCAATATCAAGTCACATGGGGAAAATGTATTCAGAAGGCCTTCAGAAAATAGCATTTTGAAGCTAAAACAAAGATCAAAATTCTAATTTTTAAATTTGAATACATAAGGAACACCACCACAAAGCTACAGAACGTTATAAAAATCTTTTAAAAATGAGTAAATAAATAATCAAGCTGCCCTTAAAATATAAATTGGAGTTGTGGTGGTACGATGTCAGAAATTATTCTCTAATAATGACGGGCAGCCAGCAGGTAGAGGCAGAAAGGAGTTTGTCTGTTGCCTTGTTGTTACAGAACGAAAGATTTAAGATACTAATTCAACATGGGTGACATCCCAGAATGATGTGTTTATAAAAAGAGAACGTTAGTCCCAAATTATAATATTCACCATCCAATCAGAAGGAGCTGCTCTGCTTGTCCTGCTTCACTTTGCTGTAGTGGATGTGTGTAGTTTTCTACAATGGGTATTTTAGTGGTTGTGGTTGTAATTACACAGCAGCTAAACAGCACGTCCAGACAGAGCAGTCTGCTTCTACTGGCCCGACTTTGTGTCCGCAGGACTGCTTTTTTTTTTTTTTTTTTTTTTAAGGGATCGGGTTAGACCAGGCTCACCACTATAGCAGGACCTCTTGGACACTTTGGAGACAGAGTAGAAATGACTGACCTGAGAGGAGGGATCAGGCAAAATGTTTCAACTCTGAATTTAATCTTTTTATGAAAATCAATCATTTGGAAAAAGAATTCAGGAAATAAGAAGGGATTGTAACTTAATAAAATCCATCCATTTTCGCCCACTTATCCGGGGCCGTGTCGCTGGAAGTGTAAAGAAGTGGTCTCAACCTTAAACACCTGTCTGTCTACTCTGGTCTAGACCCACTCAGCTCAGGTGTCCATAGCACCTCTCACCACACATCCAACATACTGACCCCCTTCCCTCCATACGCTGCTGTCCCCTACAGCTGTTGGTCGGACAGGGATGCGTCTAATTTGTCTTACAGTAGAAGCATTAGTCAGTCACCCCTGGAGCCGTTTTCTATTTCTGATCTCTGGGCGATAGTGTGTCACTGGGAGAGCAGCCCTGGTGACCTCCCCTATTTTAGGCAGCCAGGTCTGAGCGCAGATGAGGGAGAGCTGCATGTCCCAGAGCGGTAAAATGTGGGTCACATCATCAGAGCCAGGAATAACCGGTGGCTCCGGTAGCAGAAATTGTAGGTGGTGGGAGGAGGGCGGAGCCTAAAGATCGTGACCAAAGCCTGGGAAGGGATGTCCTTTTAGGGATCCCCCCTCAATAAACCACCCCTGGATCAGTGCTGCTGGTTCTATTCTTAGGGGGCTGGTGTTCACCGCCACCATGAACATTTAAAGCTGTAAATCAGTCCCTGAATTCTTCAGATTATGCACGCTGGGAAATAGACCCTGAAATTTGATAAAGGTTGGGTTTTGATTGCAGGGTTGTGAATAAGTGTTTGGTGCTGTGCTTAAAGTCAAACCTGATATTCAGGCAGTAAAACTTGAAACGTTTGTCCTGTAACATGAATAAATTTGCACTTCTCGTTTCTTTTCACGCAGCATAAAACACACTTCAGTGTGGTCTGGTGTGACAAACACACTGGTGTGTTGAGTTGGCATCAGAAATGTTTGTCAGAGAGTATATCTTACACTTAAAGACACATGTGGCCAAAAAATATTTTGCTGAAAGTTAGCAGACTAATTAACAGCAGAAAATTACTTTGGACAACATTTTGGGTAATAATTGGGTTAAACATCTTAAATGTGAGGATGTGTTGATTTTTTTTTCATTTTATAATAGTACATTGAACTTGATTGTGTTTAGAGTACAGACACCTATTCTGATGATCAAAGCTCTTGTTTTAGTTTTTTTTTTTTAACCTAAAATTTCAAACATTTGCTGGTTCCAGCCTCTCAAATGTGATTTTTTTTTTTTTTAAATTAATTAATTAATTTTTTTGCTTATATATAATAGTAACTTTAATACCATTTAGTTTTGCACAGTGTATTGGAGAAAAAAAGACACTTGAAGATGACAGCTTATGCTCAGCTGAACTCCACTTTTTCCTGACATTTATCAATAAAAAAAAATCAACAGTGAAAACAATCATAAGCCGCATTCCTAGATTGAATGAGTTATCGATTAATTCAAAGAAATAATTGATCGCTTCATTAGCCCTTTTTACACAGAGATTGCACTATTGGGCTGCTACTAAGTCCCTTCTTTATGCCTCCTTTGCATCTTTACACAACCAAACTACAGTGGCATCATTCTGTGTGATCATACACTGCATTGCGGCTTTGTGAAATCAAAAGAGGTGTGACATGTAACACAACAGCGTTGACCTCTAGTGTGACATGCATACATGCGCATTGGCAGCACTTTATAAACAATAACAATGGCATAACATGGCAATAACAATAATTTATCATCTCTGGTATATGGCAAGTGATCTCGTCCTCAACTTGGAAAGTAAAAAGCTCCCACACCTTATTGTTTTCTCAATTTGCAGACATTTATGGCCACTGTTCTTCCTCTTTGAGAAAGCCACTAACTGCTAATAGCTACTTTTTAAATGTCCCACAGCGGGTTGCATGCATAACATGTCGTCAAAACATCCCACCGTGCAACCCAAGATCTCGTCTTGACAGCGGTCCTGTTTATACAGACTCCATTTTGGTGCTGTTACCACCTCCTGTGGCGGCTTAAAGACGACACCACACTGTCCCCCGTTCTACAAACGTACCTTATACACAGCACGGCAAGGTGACATAATAGTGTGATATTCCTGCCCTGAACAGGCAATGTAAAAGGGGTCATTGATAATCAGACAGCCTTACCTCTATTTAGGGCTGGGGAAAATTGAGTCTTAGGTGCACCACAGTTCTCTCTGGAAAGATTATGCCTCAGTGCAGAAAAGTCAATAATTTGAATTTAAAACCAAATTCTCGACATTACTAAGAGCTGCTAGGATCATGTTGAGGGTAAGGTAATAGTAGGGGAAACATTATATAGAAATAAAAAACATTAAGCGTCAAGATGCCTCTGTAATTGTTACGAGTTGTGTGCAAAAATTACAAGTAACAGTCTGAGACAAATCAAATGGGTATGTTGGCTAACAGGTGTTTAGTGGTAGTGGGTTTAAGTATGTAAAACCTCATGTCCACCCATGAGTAAGCACCCCTCTTCCCCCATAATCCTCGGGAAAAACTTCACATGTGAGCACATGGCTGCGTTCAGCCTGCGGTGTGTGAGGCTCAGACTTTGTGTGTTTGTTGGGTCATCATCCCATTCTGTTGTGTGCTTTGTGTCCAGAGTGAAAAGGTTGTCCGAGTAGTGTTGGTTTTCTGATGTTAGTTGGTGTGTTTTTTAATACTGCAGCCATGTTCAGGAGTCATATTTCTGGTGGTGAAAACGACTGTTACAGAAGCTTCATCAGTTGCTTCCTGTGGTGGATGAATGAATCAGCATCCCTCTGATCTCAGCATTACTGCCGACATTTCCTCTGCCGTTACACCACACATCTTTATCGATTCAGAAAACACACTCACACCTGAGCTTTAAACACAGTCGTCTAATCTTATGGCTCATTTCCGTCGCTTCACACCTCCCTGTCCTCGCTAAAAATAATCGGCTCTTATTCCCATCTGTGCAGAATCCGAAGCAATAAACCACAAAAAAAATGCATGCCTGTCTGCATGTAATGACACAACATTAGCCATTTAGCCACTGAGATGATATGGGATGTACTTTCTGAAACCCAGAGGGAGCTTAGTGGACTGTAGACGCAGCAGATGCTTCTTATTATCCACAGCTTGTGCAGCATCCATTTGGCATTTTCATTGTGTTTGATGGCAACAGGAAGAAGTGTATTGCCCTTGTGTTGTTGGAGCAGAGCAGCACAACACAGACAAGCTTTTAAAGAAGCAATAATTATGTGTTTTTTTTACCCACCCATAGCACAGAGTGACCAGATTATAACTGCAGGGGTTTGGGCAGACTTGTAAATTCACTTTAGGGCCTGAAAATCCCCAAACACTGAAGGTTTAGCTCTCCCCACTCACGTTTATTTCTAACTATTTAACAGTGGAGTTTTTTCTTACAAGCTTAGTGTTTTTTACATACAGTATGAGTGTGTTTCCTTATGTGTGTGTGTGTGTGTACATCATTGTCCCACCTCATTGTCTTCTCTAAACTGCTCTTCCCTCCCTCTGTTCAGATCGAGGCAGTGACACGGACCGTGTCCTGCCCGCCAGCTGTCAGGCAGGTCAGAGACTCATGGAGATCCACTGTAAGTTCAACCTGCAGCCTTTGAAACCTGCAGCCTGCCTACCTACCTACTTATGATATCAGTAAAATAAGAATTCAGCACCACACAGAGAAAGAAACATAAAACAGTGTCAGTTAAAGCCTGCTTAAAGTTCAGCTGTAATTGAAATTCTCCTCACTTTTTATGTAAGGAAACCTCAAACTGCCCGAGGTGCTGACTCAGACAGTAGAAGATAGTTAGCCTAGCTTGCTAACATTAGCCCTGCTTAGTCATCTCCTGCTCTCTACATGCTGTGTTCATCACAAAATATTGAAAGGAGTTTGTCTTTGTTGTTGTTGTTGTTGTTGTTGTTGTTGTTGTTGTTGTTGTTTGTTTGTTTATTTAACACAATGAGAGACAGGACACCAGGTCACACCTGGAGTCCATGTGTGTCATACCACCATCAAATCCATACATCAAATACATGAAGCACCATCAATACTAATTTACAAGTTTCCCATAAGCCACGATTTATAATAAAAGTGGTTACTCTTTTTCTTAAATAGGAACTTAAAAGCGATTGCAATTTCTTACACCACTTAGTCTACAGGAAAGTGATCATATATAGGGGGGGGCTGTCACTGCAGCAACATAAAAAAAAAGTAAACTGGGTACTTACTTTCTTTTGTTAACTAAGTTGTTAACTAGCTTCTTTTGGTAAAAAGAAATACCGGTTTTAGTTTGACTTAAAGTTCCTGCAGGCTTTGATATGTTGATTATATGTTAGTAATTTCCATATTCACTTTTGGCTGGTGTTGTATTTAAGGCTCATTTCATGATTTTCTACAATGTTAAAAGCTCCAAATATATTTTTAGCAGCTTTACTCAGTCGGATTTCTTTTTTGTTGTTGTTGTTTTTTGTTGTTAGAGCACACCGCCACTCACGCGTTTAATGTAAATTTAAAAAATTCAGTCTTTCATCACATTAAACTGTCCCTCCAGGATGCTGCAATTGCGACATTGTTTGCAATTTTTAATGGCCATGCAATTTTATTGCAAGAACACCTGTAAACAGTGCAACATGCTTCGCAATTTTCTTGAAAAGCTGCTGTGTAATTAGGCATTTCAGACCACGACAATCCCAAAACCGGCCTGTGAAATCTTGGAGGGACTGATTTAAGCAAAAGACAAGCAAGTTTACTTGTGACGACACAAAATTGCTAAACATGCCTTAGCTACCTACACATGTTGGCAGTATCAGTGTGTTTGGATTTAAACATCTAAATGATTTGACGTATATTTTCACACTAATGGTATTTATAGGCTCAGCATTAAGACCTTCATCTACATTTAACATTTTTCTTTAGGTCCTATTTTAAAGAACAAAAGCATTTATGCTACTGCAAAGACCTGCATCTTGTTACAAACATTGCAATGGCAATATTATTCCAGGAAATGCTGTGATGCATTGTTTTTTTTAATTGTAGTAAAGATTCTTCTCATTTTAAATCCATCTATAAATATGATTCATTCCCCTCACAGTGTGGAGCAGAAGAGGTAAAAACAAACAAAGTAAATTCTTTTACAACCACAACAACAATCAAACCAGCACTTCTTCCATTTATTCTTTATTTTTAATGCCAGTAAAAGCCCTCACACACAGCTTGTGATCAGTTAGGAGTTAGATTAGTCATTAGTCAGACATTTTAAAGAGGCAGCAAGATTCATTATCTTATAAATGATGAAACTGAGACAAATTATTAGGATATTCCCCAGTGAAAAGTTGGGGCAAGTGTCTCTCGTGATACCCCAATATCTTCAGTCTTCACACAACTATGTTTCCAAATCCATCCATCACTCATGCAGCCTGTAAGAAAACAGAAAATGCTGTTCTGTAGCAGTAGTAGAGCTTCCTCTTATGCACTGGGTGTATCCATGTATCATGCAAGCATTGTGGCCTTTCCCATAACTGTCCTATCATTTGAATCTGAATAAAGCCATAACTGGGTCCATGTCATTGGTTCGACAGCCCATCGGTTCGACATCCCATTAGTCCGACTGTCCGCGGTGCTGAACGGCTCGCGGCGGGCGCATGGTACGCTGCGACCGGCTTGAGGCGGAGCAGGCTCACAGTTTATGTGTTTGTCACTTTCTTTTTCATTTTAACCCACACCATGATCTTTTCCTGACCCTAACCAAGTGGTTTTTGTGCCTAAACCTAACCAGACCTTAACCACAGGGCATCATGATGATTTCAGAACGGACTTCAGAACAATGAGTTTAATATGGCCGGAACAATGGGATGTCGAACCAATGGGCTGTCGAACCAATGGGCAGTTCCCGCCATAACTAACATTTACATAACTGACTAACAGACAGAAGAAGCCAGCAATGTTGTGTATTCCATGTCTGTAAAGGACACAACACAATGCACAAACTTTGCAGAAACTGTACTGGGAAAAAAATAAATGACGTGCATAAATTAGACCAAATAAAATGTAATTGTAGGTTCCACAGGCAGCCTGGGTGGATCCTCCTTTTATATCGTAAGTGGAAAGTATTAAAGAGCATTAAATTAAAAGCCCCAACATGTCATTACACACACTATTAACCCTGGAAGCAACCAAAAGTAAAGAGGACAGGGATCAGACGCCCTGCAGCCTGTGATAAGTACAAATGCTTACTTGAGTTAGATTTAAAATGTGTTCCTTCGGCTTCCGAAAATCATTTTCCCACCAGTGTTATCTCACTCAATTTAAAAGCGGTGTATTTCACACAGGTTATTATTTGCACAACAGAATTGCTCGCACCTCCTTTGCTGTTTGCTGTTTGGTGAGATTCACTGTTAACACCGTTGTTAAGAACTTCACTGCATGTTTGGAGTGGGTCTTTGGGTTCAGTGTGATTAGATTTAGTTTGCAATGAAGGCTGAGCATGTCACGGTGTGTGGGTGTGTATGTGGACAGAAGGATTTGGGGTTTGAAATGTGTAGCGCCTCCAGTTACTTACTCGACTTGAGTCGAACACTTTGCATGGTTCCTATGCAAACCCCTCAGGAGTGTCAAACTTTGCAGATATGTGTGTGTTGCTGATAGCTGAGCGGCTGAATTCTGTTTGATTTGAATAAACGCAGATATAGGCTCTGTGAGAAAAAGATAACCAGAACAGGCGATTTATGTATGGGTGAATTACACCGTGTTCGTTAGTGCCTGTTAGGTCAGGCTTGGCTCGAGGACAGTGGTTGTACTAGTGTTGCTCTGCTGAAGTTAAACATTATAATAAGACTGAACCAAAGACGAGATAAAGAAACCTCTAAAGCACATGCAAAGTTGGCTTTGTCCTGGTTACTTTTATTGTGGGGATGACAAAGCTGTATTTGTAACTTAAACATGAATGGATATAATGCTTCTGTCAAACACTTTGACTGATCCGAACATAAAACCTCCCATTCTGAATGCAGATCATTTTTGAGTACTCGTATCATTATATCCACAAACTAGTTTGTTGGGTAGGGTATACTTAAACCGTCTTTTTCAAATTTACCAATGGATCTATTCATTTATACTATGCCCTTTATACAGATTAGAGATGCTTTATTTGGTGTCTGAGGCGTTTCAGTTTTATAATGCACAACTGTTGCTACATTTTCACCTAGCATCCTCACAACTCCGGAGTATCTGAATTCCTAAAGCAGAGTCTTTAAAAAAAATTGTCACTGACCCCGTTATAGTTTGAACTCTCCAGGACTGGGTTTTAGTTTGGGTACGTGGAAACAGTCTATTGAAAACGATGACGCAGACTCATATGTTCGCTTCCTAGACTTGTGAGTCTTAACCATATTTGCTTTGCAGCGACTCCCAGTTAATGTTTTCCGCCACCTTGACTGCCTTAACTCGTTACCTTCATTAACAGTTTGACATTTTCTGAAACTAAGCAACCAATCTCAGAATAAACAATCCACTTCCTGTTTATACTGGCAGGCAAATGTCCAGTATATGTGAATGGTCATGCGATATGTATTCATTATTGCATGCTGGTATGGAAATGGTGCTAAAATGCTTATGTGTACAGAGATAGAAAATGTACCGGTGTGGTTGTAGCCAGAGTGTCTGTTGTATACTGGTGGAATATAGAAAAAGTAGTTGTCTTGTGCTCGGATTCTGATAATGCTCCATTAATTTTCAACAATTGACTCTTTACAAAGCCCTGCCCCTACATAGATTTACCATTTAGAAGTTGTGGTAAAGCTTTAAACAATCAGTCCTTGACTTCCGAGGGGCAGATGAAATGGCTTTTCATTTCTAGCAGGTTGAAATAACAACTGTCATAAGTAGCTTTTAACCGCTGTATTTTGCAGGTTGCGTACATGATACGATGCTGAATGAGTGAGGGAGGCTAAAGCTACATGTCACAGGCAAAGAAATGGAAGTTTAGGGTTTTGGAAAAGATAAAAGTAAAGATGGGAGCCTTTAACAGTCCCTCTTAGGAGGGCTCAATGCCCACCGCTTTGGCACACTGAGAAATCCAAATTAGCTTTATACTTTGCCTGCTAGTTAACATTGCTAAGCTAGTATTGGGCAGCCACTGTTTTTAGGAGGGGTTAAGTGCCTGACTGTAATCTTGTGCATGTTTAACCAAAGAAGTATTTGGGTTTAAGCTCATATTCTACTCTCTGTTAAATCAGAAAGTAACAGTGTGTGAATATGTGAGCAGATAACTTTGTATTTGTGGCACTAGTTTCAGCCAATTTCAGTTCCTGTAAAAAATGTGCTACCCCAAAATAGTTTGGTGCAAAATCCCCTATAAATGTCGTCTTGTTTGAAAAGGTCTTCAGTTTCCTTTTTATAGGTTTAAAAGTTTCTACAGCTCTTTTCTTAATGTCCATCCGTCTGAACCTGTTTCCTCTCCAGGCTCCTAAAAAGACGACCGTCAAGAAGGAGTCAAAGGAGAAGAGAGAGAGCAACGAGGAGAGCAAGGAGAACCTGAAGGCCAAATCGGACGACTCCGGAGAGGAGAAGAATGGCGACGACGATTCCCAGAAGAACGGACCGAAGAAAAAAGGTAGATATGGATCAGACAACTGCCAAGTTAGCATGCTGAATAGTGAAATTAGAGATACTAAACAGGAGCATGTGCTACTGTTAGCATCCACGCTAACCCTCAAAATTGCAATGCAAATAGTTGACTTGTTAACACACACACACACACACACACACACACACACACACACACACACCTGAGTGTAAATAGTTTGAGATATCACAAGAGGATTTCTGATCGAGGTAACGAACACTGGTGGCATCCTCAGGCCAGTTTTTGCCCCTCTAGTGGTAAGAATCTTCATCCAAAAGAAAGCCATGTTCAGTTTTCATGGACCACATGTGTATTTGTTTATTTAACACACAATTGTTTAGCATCCTCAAGCTTTTTATAATACCTGCCATAAAGTAAGCTACAGGAATTGGTTGAGTATTTAATGCAACCTGCCAACTTCACCTGCTTGTTGTCTCCTCAAACACTTAAACCTTCTAGGAAAATACTAGAATCTGGGGATTTCCCTCGCATTGTTTCTGCCATCATATTCCTGTGTGGGTTTTTTCATAATGAGCTTTAATTGGTCATGAAAAAGTCCAAGTTTGGTCATTCTTTGCTGATAATGGTATGACTGACTTTAACCGCTAAAGCTTAAAATAAGCCATGGTTGACATCAAAATTGAAGATGAACATGTTGTCTTGGTGGCAGTTAAACCAAACTGGAAAACTTAATAAAACCTCCTGGGAGCAGTGAAATAAAGGATGTGAGGGCAGCACATTCTTGTTTTTCCAGTAGAGAACAAAAAGGCGGTCTGTTTGCTATATGTTTGCTCAAGATGTGACTGTATCAGGAGTGCAAGATGGTATAGCTAAGGCGTTTCATACCAGTTTAAATATTCCCTTATTTTAATTATCAAATTATGACCTTTCAAATAAATGTGCTTTTAGTCAAATACAGCTTCCGTTTTAAATGTGAGCCAGTGACAGACGCCTAATTGGAAGTTTGTGAAGGCTGGTCGCAGTTTTGGCAGCAATAAAAGGTTTTAACTACACCAGGCAGCCAGACAGTGAGTGTTCTGATTCTCGTGACTTGATTACCCAAAAAGTGTTGGGTTTGTTGTGTGGGAACTTCCTCCATCTCTGCCAGACATCAGCCATTTTGATTCCTTGAACCAATACTGGCATACAGAAGGTGATGGTGAGGATATCACCAAAGGGAACTTTTTCGAACGACCAGCTCAGTTTTGTGTTTTCAGAATATGTCCATAAGTATATTTTAATATTAAGTCTGTTTTTTTAAAAGAAATAAAACAAAATTGAGATGTTTGGGTAAGACTTAACCTGCAGACGTGCTGTAGAGGTGATGAGGACTTCATGTCTCTTCTCTGACTTAACATCAATGAAGAGAACTTTCACAACTCTGATCTCAGCATTGAAGCAAACCAAACAAAAACTTACTTGACCTCTGTTGCCGGGCCTGGCAGATTAACCCTGAATTGGCTGCCCTCGACTAATTTTAGAAGCTGTTGTTTCACATTGAGTTTGAGGAGGGTTGACACATTAATTACTGCACCAACAATCAGCAGTGTGGTCAGTGGTACAACATTTCGGTCGGCCATCTTCCTGTTCCCCAAAATGATTTTCAACACTGCTGCTGTCGTTAGATCTGTAACAGTGTAAAGTGTAGTTTTATTCTAGCAGTATTTTATATCTTGTGGCTACTGTAGTGGTGACTCAGTAGCCTCAGGTTCATTTTCTTCTTCTGTCCCTGTATTTTCTCCCTCCCTCACTTAGCTACTCCGTCAGCAGATAGGCAGATAGACACAAGGCCACGTCACTTAAAACTGGCCGTCATTTCCTCTTTCCCATTGCTTGTGTGTTATCTGTCACACTCACCCACACATCCACACAAACACCCCTACAGCCAGATGTTTTAAACAGCAGATCACTGATGCGCCCTGCTGGCCAACAGAGGTACTGCAGCAGACCTAATGCTATTTTAAGAAAACACTCAGCAGTAATGATCACACTATGTCATGATAAAAGTAATGTAAAGCAGCTAATCATCCAGTATACAGAGCTGCTGTTGTATCCTAAAACTCAATCTGACTCGTAAACTGGTGACAGTGGGCAGCTGGGAATTTGGAACAGGCTAACTGGGCTCCTTTCCTTCTTCATAAGTGGTGATTAAAAAGGTTTGACATATTTAGTTTAAATATTTAGTCCTTTCTCGCCAAATTGCCAACTTGTAAAATTGTCCCATTGACTGTTAAATAAATGTTTGAATAACATCAATAGCATCAGTTTAACTGGAGAAATTAAACTCCCTACAAATCCTCACTTAATTGTTTGATTGCTTTTGATAAAGAGGAGATTGTTGGAAGGAAAATTACAAAAATATTAAAGATTCATACGTAACCTTTAATAATATTTAATACCAAGTTAAAGTTCATTTTAGACACAAAAAACCCTTATATTTTTACTCAAAGTTCACCTTACCAGCCAAATAATTTCTGACTATATTAAACGTTTTATGAAAATATTTAGGTGATTCCTGCAGACACCTTTCAGAATTCAAAGATTGATGACTGGATGTTTTCCAAATGCTTTTTCTTCTGCCTTTCGTTACAAGCAGGAAACAAGCAGAAGTGGGTTCCCCTGATGATCGAGGTGAAGTCCGAGGGTCCCAGGGAGCGCTCGGCCTCCAGGAACAACAGCAGACAGAACGAGAACCCCCGTCTGCCTCCCAATGCCAGGAACGACCTCAGAGGTCAGTGTGTGCAGGTTTTTCCTGCAGGTGACAGATAAGTATTTTAAAATGAGTTGAAAGTGATGTGAAGAAATCCCACCTAGCTGGTTTAATATGAGGCGTTAAATACCAGGGGCTGTTAGCTGGTGCTGTTTGACTTGTGACAACACGTGACAGCAGATTTTAATTGGTTTTACTGGAGGTGTTTGTATTACATCATCTGTAGCAGTTGATTTAATGGCGGACATTACTGCATTTTGCTGTGTGAGACATGACTCAGCAGCAGGATGTGGAGAGATCTGTATGTGCTGCGACTAATCTGCTACTTCTGCTTTGACAGCACAGCTGTTTGAGTGTACAGTAAAAAGAAGTTAGTTTCTTATATTTAACAAGGAACTGAAAAGCGTCTACTTTGATCAGTTGATATGCAAAGGATGAAAAGTAACTTTCATCTGATTAAAATAATAATAATAATAATAATTCTACAGAGCATTCTGCAAAGTCAGTTGGACCGTAGTTTTGTTGTTTTAGTCTTGTGTAATGACATGCTTGTGCTGACGGGAAGGCTGTTGTTTTCTCTGCAGACTGGCACAGTCAAAAGTACGAGCGAGAGTGGCGTGACGACCACGACGAGGTGTCCAGCGTGAAGAGCGAGGGAGCACCGTTCCGCGGAGGGTTCAGAGGTCGCGGACGTGGAAGAGGAAGAGGCCGGGGACGAGGCAGAGGTGGCAGAGGTGGGTGTTTTTTTTCCACCCATAGACAGACACAGAAAAACAAATGTAAAACACTTAAAATACTTTACCACAAGTTTTCTGTCCTCAAAAAACATTTCAAAAATACAACTTTCCTTTCCAAGTCTTTCTTATGTGGTCATCATCCTCTTTTTTTGCATTTCCTGAAACAATACTGGCACTGGTGATGATTTCACCACTGTGCCGCTTGTGTGTGTGTGTCACCATCGGACACTTCTCTTAGCACCAGATGAGTAACTTACTATGATGTGCTGCAGTGCGTCACTGTGACCTTGATACTCAAACGTTAACAATTCACAGTGACATAAAAAAGGTAGAAACTTCTGCACTGTAACAGATTTCCCAGTAAAACAGAATATTTGAATGGTGTCCAGTTAGAAGAGGAATTTAAATCAATTCCTTGGCATTTGATTGACTTCTTAAAAGTGGGCGGGCTTAGAGTTTAGCGCAGTACGGAGTTACAGCAGACTGTTGGCTCCACACACACCTCCCTCACTGTTAGATCAGGAGGAGGACGAGGAAGAGACGAATGAATTAGACCTCTGCCATTTTGTTTTGGAAATGAAAACAAAGATTTGCCCACTGGTAGCCAAACACACACTGTCTCTCTCTGTAACGCTCTGTTAGCTACTATAACCCACAAGTGCAGTCATCTATGACCAGTGTGGCTAGCTAGTCAGCCAGAGTGTCATTTGATTGGATGAACTTTTGTACACACCCCTGAGTGCAGGATGAGTCATCTAACATTTGCAACCTTTTAACAGAAAGAGAAAAGACGGACTTTGAATATTTTTTGACATATTTGGCACATAATGAGAGATAAATGATCAGTTGCAGAGACAGAGGATAAAAACTGGGAACGTTTATTTTTCATTTCACAAGTTCTTTAAGGCTGTTTTGTTAATTAAATTAACAATGTTCTTACTCCATGAAATCTATGGGTCAGACTTAACCTGCAAACGTGCTGTAGAAGTGATGAGCACTTCATGTCTCTTCTCTGACTAAACATCAATGAAGAGAATTTTCACAACTCTGATCTCAGCATTGAAGCAAACAAACAAAAAGCATTTGCATTTTAATGCTGGGTCAAGGCTAGGTGATATAAATTATATTAACAGCTCCTCAAAAGGAAAATTAGTACAGTACTGACAAGCTGTATTGCTTGACGACACACTAATACCCAGTCACAGAGCGGCCCATAAGATATTCTACTTCACAAAGCTACATACTCATTACAATTTTTCTGTCAAAAGTCAGCTAACCTTACAACCTTAAACGTAAAAAGAGCTGTTGTGTGTAAAAGAAGAAACGTAACATCAGTGGTGTGGCAGTAGTTTGGCTCCTCAAAGCTCCGTTTGGACCCAACAAGGCCAGGCCTCTTACTCATAATGTATGCCATTACCTCGGCAGAAACCTGTGCTAATAAAGATGGGAAATACCACAAACTAGGTTCATCACCTGAAGCACCATATTCCAGTAAAGCTTTACACACAGGCCATTAGACCCATCCCCTGGAAAAGCAGGGAGGCGCTCAGAGAAACGCTCCCCAATGAAACAAACCATTAACAATTTACGACACCAACAGACACATCACATGTGCTGCTGCTTTGTAATGTCAACAACATGTAGAAACTTTTAGCTTTAGGGAGAGTTATCTAGTGTTACTATTTAAACTGGAGTATAGTGGCTTTCCTGTATTAAACAAAAGTGATATAATGTGTTAATTAAGTTGTTTTCTCAGTTTCCCTTTTACACATGTAGCAAACAACAGGAGACTGTCTATGTCGGATGTGTTCTCACCTGCTGGAAATACTCCGTTTGGTTGTTAGGCGATTTATGGCGTCTGGGTAGAGTTTGCAGGAGGTAGGATTACACTGTGGTCACATAGCTTGTTCGTAATTTGGTCATCCCTCGAATTTGTCTGACGTTTTTGGCTTCAGCTCTTGCCGATTGATGTGTCTCTCCAGTTAAACATTAGTCATTGCCGTCTTTGTTTAAATTACCCTCCTTCTTCACTTTCGGGTGTTTGTTTTCATCCTGTTCTCCTCGAGTCATATGATAGAAGTGTCATCAGCACACCCACTTGCTTGCTGTGAATTCCCCAGATAATTGTCGGCTAGATTCACGCATGGGCTCAGTCGGACAATACACAGACTTTATTCTGGGGAGCTGGCAGGATAAAGTTCATTTAATGTCCTGTCCGGCTGATTCATACATTTGTGTTATCAAATACAGCTCCTCAGGGTAATATAAAGATAATCTTAGGTTTGCAGCACATGTACGAAAGGGGCTGTAGTAATATTTCAAGGAGCTAGGCTTCCTGTTCCCCTGCTTTGAGTCTTTATGACCTCAGCTTATCAACTGCTGACTGTAGCTTCTTACGTAGCATACAAGACATGAGTGCGGTATCAATCTTCTCACCTTCCAAGATACAAAACTACTACTACAAAGCAGACAACTTGCGAAGATTGACCATGTTTGACAAAATGTGACAGAACTGTGGGTTTTTCTGTAGCCTGGCTGTGTCTGGGCTGACTCTGCTCTCAAGCTGGGTGGTGGGTGACCCTAAACTGGCCCCACTGAGGCTACACTGAAAACAAAAAAGTGCAATAACAACCAGTGAGAGTTGGAATGAGGAAAGGCCTTGGATCCAGCAGGAGGAGTAGGTTTCCCCGAAGGCCTGTTAGTTTTGGCAGGATTCTTTCTCCCTCCCCTCCCTGTTGTTAGCTCTCTTTTCATAGACATCGTCTTTTCTTACTGCCCCCCTCCCCTCACTCTTCCTAACTCTCTTTTCCTCGCTCCTCCTTTCTTACTCCCCTCCCCAGACTGAGCTAGTGAAAATGCTTATATATCTTTTTTTTAATTTAATAAGGACGAAAAGTTTAAGTGAAAACAAAGATTAGTCAGTTCCCAGAGGAATAAATAAGAGTGATTGTCAGTTAAGTCCAGTTTTATGTCTCTCCCGTCTCCTCGAGGAAACGTTGTTGACTTTCAGCAGCACTGAAGAAACGGTCAGAGCTAATGCCAAGCACACTTTGCCTTTGTGTATTTACTTGGCTCTTGTGTGTGTGTTTTCCTGTGTACTCGTCATTGACTCTGTCCACTCGCTTTTTTTATGACACTTTTAGATATTTTTATGTTTTTCTTATTAATGTCTGGAATAGAATTAAACCAGAACCACAGGAGCTACAGGATATCCCTATAAATATCATTTGCCAATTATAATTCTAATAATTCCAATAATTATTCTTGGTATGGTCATTATCATGATATATTGGTTTACATTATATTAGGTTATGTTATGTATCGTATTATATCATAGTGGATTATTATGTTATATTATATCATATGATCTTATAATATATTATTATATATTATATCATGCTATATTATATTATAATGTCTTATATTACCTCGTATTATATTATTTTATCTTACATTATTA